AGCCAGGACACGCAGGGGCGTGGTTCCCATACATGATGTTGTACCGAGTGAATTGACTGAAAGGGAACTCTCTAACTTCTTCCTTTCTTCTTCCTTTGCTCTCTTAATCCCGCGTCTTTAAGGAGCAACCTTCATTTTCGGAATGCAATAGTCCCATTTCCATATAAGGTATGGGACTGACGGAAAGGTCTGTCACCGCCCCGTTCTGCATGCTGCAGCCAAGTGTACCTCGGCTCTCGGGTGAAACTGAAAGTGAAACCTAGCTTCTGAGCTCTCAACGTTAGTTCTCAYTCTGTGAAGCTCTTTCCGGATTAAAAAATACCTTTGAGGAAATGTATTTTCAGAAGCCAAGTAAATTGCATCATAGCGCATGCGCAACCCCCCCGAACAGGAAGGAACAGAAGCAGATGGTGTTTCTTAAAGAGACAGAGGCCAACTTCAAGGCGTTTAGAAGGGGAAGTGATGAGAAGGTACGTTTATTTTTCTATTTAACCGTACAAACAGTGTTTTAAAAACAGCTAAAGGTGACATAGATACTTTATTATGGTATAGTATTTAAATATATGCCTGAGAAACACATAATATTGGCCCTTTAATATGTTCTACAAAACCAGAAGCAAAACCAAAATAGTTTTCCACAAGTTCAACACGATTAAAAGCTTTTTCCTGATCAAGAGACAGGACCCTGTGTTTAGGCCAAGGAGTTTAGAAATCTCCAAGAGATCCCTAAGCAAGATTACATTATCAGTAATGATCCTGTCAGGCACACTTTAGACTGATGAGGGTGGATCACCTATTCCATTGYCCTTTTCAGCCTGTTGGYGAGAACCTTTGATAAAAAATTTATAATCTGAACATAAGAGTGGCAAACACTTTCTCTTAAGGCTGTCACTGAGTACTGCCAGCAGGTCTTCTCCAATCACTGCACATAAAACCAGGAGCTTTACCACTCTGCATAACCTGTAGAGCATCCTGAAATCGAGAGTGAGAACAGAACAGTGTATCATTTGTTTCTTTCTCAACCTGTGGAAGCCCTTGATAA